ATCTGGGGAGATTGATATCAGGTTCAGCCCGAAGAACTCCAAAAGACAATGCAAATACAGTTCTGTTGCGTTTATTAGCTTCCACCTCCAGACAGAAATCTCCCCAGACTGGACCCGAGTTCTCAAGCCAGCCAGCCACAACACTGTGAATTCCTTAGGGAGGTGCCAGCCTCATCTTCTTGAACTTCCCACACTCCTGCTGGGGGCTAAGAACACGCTTATCTCCCTGAACCTGGCCTTCGTAAGTCCATTCCATCACAACAAGTATGCTTAACTGGATGCTGAATCTAAACAGGACAATTGATATGCAACAGCAGGAATACCAATGAAAGACTTATATTAAATGGACTGTGAATATCACCCTTGAAGAAAACTGCTACAAGATGTTTTACTATTTTATATCATCAACTGGCATGTTACTCCAGTGCTGATGGCCAAAATCTATAATTTGTTTTCTAAAAAAGACTGCAAATGCAATCATTAGGTTGGATGGTTCTTTTATATCTAGAGGCAATGTTATAAAGCTCAACAATTCAAAAAGATGATTTATTATAGAATGAAACAAATCTTAAAGGTGGAATTATTTTTCCTAACAGCTGTTTTTCTGTTAAACATCACTAAGCCTTATATTCCTACAAAGTACAGAGAATTGGCTCTACCGGAGTCCACCTTCCTTTGACTCTCAGAGAGAGATACAGATGTTACATTATGTCATGCCCCCATGTATGAGGTTTAACATTTACATCCCCTCTGTAGAGGAGGGGGAAATTTCTCAATTTTTGCCCAGCATGCAACAGTGTTGTACACAAAAAAATGTGTTTTCAGAGACCAAAGAGAATTGGCTCTGTATATGATACTAATTGCTAAGATACTTTTATCTTTCTTTTTGTAATCACACATACTTCTCCTTTTAGAAGAATGGCAAATTAAAATGTGGCAGTATCCATACCTTTGACAATAATTTTGTCAAAAATAACTTTTTATTTGAAAAAATAATACACAATTGGACTTGGAAGCCATTCACGGATTATAATTCTACACTCGTATGGCATCTACAATTTGGCTTTCTCTTAATATAAAGTTTTAATACATTAGCTCTTGCTTAACTTGTTAAATAAGGATGGGACTTTTTAGATCAGATAGAAACTCTGGTTATTCTTTACTCTGGCTTATGTTTCATCTATTGGCTGTCTTTTGTTAATTACTGAATATTATCTTGATTTTAATGATGATTTTGATAACTTTTATATGCAATACTAATCTGATGTTATTTCAAATTTTTCACTCAATTTTATATAGTAGGAATAGTGCCCTTTGACTGTGACTATCCTGTTTCGGTATACTTGCAAAATTATATGGATTTCAGGATCCAAACCCATAATCCAAAATCCTGCATCCTAAAATGATATGAACTACAAAAACCTTACAGTAAATTTGTTGTTTGTTGTTCAGTCGGTCAGTTGTGTCCAACTCTTCGTGACCCCATGAACCATATTGCGCCAGGCCTTCCTGTCCTTCACTGCCTCCCTGAGTTTGCTCAGTTTCATGCTCATTACAGTAAATAGACCAATATATTTAAAGGAGATCTTCAGTAAATCCCAATCTGTAATCTAGATTGGGAAGTCAAAAAAAAGGATCCTAGAAGATGGCAGTGGCAATCCACTTGCATGTTGCTGCTGAAAAAATTACATGGAAGTGCTTACAGTAGGAAGCTGCAACATTCAGCTCATTATTTTAGTTTGCTACTTAGGCTTGGAAGCTAAGCAGGCGCAACCCTGGTTAGTACTGGATGGGAGGCCCACATGGACCTCCCAAGTCTGCTGGCAGTTGAAAAAACATCACAGAAGAATCTCTTTTTTGACTGTTGCTGATAAAACTATGACGGTATCTTTGTAGCCACTTCCCAGGAGCTGAGCTCAACTTGAGGTTATCTTTACTTAATATATTTGAAGTGATTTGATCAAATTATCATCCAACCCTGTTCAGTGTTTGGTGCATGTGATACTTTATGCTTTGATGAAGGACAAGATATACTTTCCCCATCTTCCTTCAAAACCTGCAATGGGTCCATGTCCACCCCCATGTTTGAAGGCAGTAGTCCTAGGATTACAGAGCTCTGTCCAATGAATTGTTCCTGCTTGTTTCTCACCATCTGATGCCTGAGTCACCTGCCTCGTTCTGCCTAACAATGCAACCATCTTGTAGCTCACCTACTCAACCTCCCTGTTTTTTGCAGTCCCAAGTAGGCAGCAAAAACTGGAGGTCTATAAGGCCATACGTTCCTAGAGAATTCTGTTTCATCTAGTCATCTTTTGTGTGACTCCACCCTATTCTCTGTCCCATTTTAGGTAAGATAGTTAACTCTGCTGTTATCCATGTGAATGGGGATGACCCTGAAGAAGTGATCAGAGCTGCACGACTGGCTGTGGAGTACCAGCGACACTTCCGGAAGGATGTGATTGTGGATTTACTGTGCTACCGGCAGTGGGGTCACAATGAACTCGATGAGCCTTTTTTTACAAACCCCACCATGTATAAATTAATCAGGTAGTGCTTAAATTCCAACAGGAAGAGTTGTTGACAGTGGAACCAGTACCCAAAGAGGTGGTAGGTTCATCTTCTCCAGATGTGTTCGAGCAGAAGGTAGATACCCCTGTCTGTTGGGGATGCTTTAATTTGAATTCCTGCATTGAGGTGGAAGTAAGACTTGATGATCTCAGTGGCCTATTCCAACCCTTTCAAGGCCATCTAATCCTTGCCTCTTTTATTTATTTATTTATTTATTTATTTATTTATTTATTTATTTGTTGGATTTCTCCCCCACCCATCTCCCCCAC